CATTTGATACTCAGATAGTTTCCGTTAAAATTCTCATTCTTTACATCAGAACAACTGGATATGTCAACAATCACCTAGCCCTAGCACCTTACTAGATGATGATATGCCAGGTCTGTCGAAGGGCCTTGTGTGCATTAACCTGGTCAAGCTTCGCTCATTCCTTTATATTACAGATGGTAGAACTGAGGCACATTGTTTGAATAACTTCTCCCAGGCTCTTTATATTGGGAGGGTGGGATTAACCCCCATAGCCCACAGTGAGTACCTGCATGCACACCAGTTTCTCAAGCTCTGGAGTTCCCAAAGCTGAAACAACTGACCACATGGAACACAAAGCTCAGAGAGAGCATAGGCTAGTTTTAATCTCTGCTTTCAACACTCTTCCTTTCCTTGAATGATGAGGCTCAAGGCTCCATCCTGCTTCTAAGGCTTCCATCACTAAAGTAAACTGATCCTGGCTCCTCTCTGCTCTGCAGTCCTGAGCCCCCGAGAAGCCTCCCAAGCCCCAGGCTGTGTCCCTCCTTTGCATCCTGCCCGCACTACTGAAGTGAACTATAATGAAACCATCCTTTGATCAACTGTTTGCTTAACATCTATCAATCATACTCAACTGTAAACAGTAGCAGTTCTAGATACTCCATACAGGAGAGTGCAGATGATCCGGGTGGATGGGGTTTTGTTTCCAAGTGGTAACTGAATGCAGGAAAGCATGAGTATGTTGATGCAGATTAGAGAGGAAGCAGGCTAAAGATTTAACCTCTGCTTCACCATTCCCTCCCCTCTGCTGGCACCACCAGACTATAAACTCCTTAGGGCAAAAATACCTTGCTCCTTTTGTCACTGTAAATACTTGGCACTGTGCCTGGTACCCAGGAAGTACATGATATTTTTGTGGAATTAATAAAGGAAATGGAATCTTGAATTTATCTGAAAAAGTGGGATAAAAATATGAAAAAGAGGGATGACACTTATGGGGGGGGGCATTTGTGGGGGAGGGTAGTGGGGCTTGAACCCAGAGCTTTCACACTGAGCTGTATGCCCCTTTAAAAATTTTTTTGCTTTTGTTTTTTCAGACAGGGTTTCACTAGTGGTCCAGACCAGTCTTGAACTCCCAAGGATCCTCCTGCCTCAGCCTCCTGAGTGATGGGATTATAGATCTATATCACCATATACAGCTTTTTTTTTTTTTTTTTTAAATTTTTGAGACAAAATCTTACTAAATTGCCCAGGCTGGATTGAATTTATGATCCTCCTGCCTCAGTCTCCAGAGTGTTGGAATTTTTTATTTATTTTTGTCTTTTTGAGGCAGGGTCTCTATGCAGTTCAGGGTGGCCTTGAGCTCACTTTGAAGCCCACGAACTCACAATGATCCTCCTACTTTAGCCTCCTAAGTGCTAGGATTGCAGGTGTGAGCCATCACGCCCAGCTGAGTGTTGGAATTATAGGCATATATAACCACGTCCATTTTGTTTTGTTTTACAGTGCTGGGGCTCCAGCATGAATGAAGGATTTAGCAGAGTATATATATTCCCAGGACATCGGGACCCAGCTTCTAAAGCAGCAATACATATGAAAACGCTCTGAGCACTGGACTGGCAACAGTAAATGCTCCACAAACATCTGTCATTGAATTTTTTTTTTTTTGTCTTTTTCATTTTTATCGGTACCGGGAATCGAAAGCCTACTTGCAAGGCAGGTGCTTATGCCACTGAGCTAAATCCCCAGCCCCTCATTGAATTTTAATTCCTGCCCCTCTTCACTCCCACTATCTCATCTCCCAGGTTCCAGGGCTCGAAAGTCTGAGGCTTAACACAAGAACAAAGCCCAGAACTGAACCCACTCTACTCTCCCCTTCCCCCTCCCCCACAACCTGGGCCGGGGTGAAAACACTGTCATTATCCCAGGCAGGAATGCAAGGCTGTTAGAATTTTCCTATAGCAGCAAAATTTATACAGTACCTCCTCAAAGACATTGAGTAGCTTCAGAGTTAACATCAGCTGCCGTAGGAGAAAATAAAAACACAAAACCCAAAAAAACCAAAATCCAGCATCTCCTTACCAGCTACAACCTGCAAGAGTGAACATTGTGGCAGTGCTTTCCACCCTAGCAAATGTTTTCCAACTCTCCCATCATTTTTCTTTCTGGCTCTTACTACCCTCTGCGAGCCCCATCCCTACCGCCTGGCCACCCTCATTCCAGTCATTGGCTACACAGTTGCTACAAACCACACTGTGGTACATCCTGCTTAAAACCCTCCAGAAGATGGACCTGAACTTGCCATGTTCCCGCAACCTTGCCTCTCAACATTTGCCTAGCAGCAAAGGAGGAGACCTTCTGTCTGCCCCGCCCCCCATATGCCAGGTTTTCTTCCGATTTGGGGCCACCACTCATATTGCAAGGGCCAGGGATGCTGAGATGCCAGAGATACTGAGATGAGCTTTGGGCTCATATTTCAGTCTTCAGTCTGAACTCACAATCTCAGGCCCCCTCTCAGAGCGACACTCCCCGATGCCCAAATCAAAATCTTTCTTCACCCATCACTCTGGTTCTACTGCCCTCCAAGAATGTTGATTTTTTTTTCCTCTGAGCACTTCCAGCTTTAAATAATAGTCTGTCTCCTAAAAAGACTAAGCTTCACATGTTCAGAGGGGGCTAGCTGTCCTTCACCATGAATTCCTAGTCATTGAAGCACAGTATGAATGAATTTCTCACAACTGCTGCCTCAAACCATGTCCAGGCTTAGGTTCCAAGCAGGACAAGAAAATGGCCTCTGGTGCCCTCCCAGGCACTCAGCCTACAGTGTGTAAGATCCTTCCAGTAGAGCTGGGGACTGAGAGCCTTTGCTCTCCCCACTGTGGACTGGATCGTAACTCTTCCTTCAGGAAAGCTGAGAAAAAAGAATCCTGTCTAGTTCCTCTAATAAAGGAAGCTGTAGGATGGACAGCCCCACTGTCCATCTGACAGCTAATAAAATCAAAGTTTGTATATATTCTCATTTTGTAACTGAGCAAGCAACATTGGTGAGCACAGGTTGAAAAAAGCTGTTGTTCAACTGCTTTAAATGACACACAAGAAACAGTACTGTATTTTAGGTTTGCCAAGGCAAGAAGGGCTGGGAGCAGCAGAGATCCTGTTGTAAAGGTCTAGAAAATCAGCAATACAATTTACTGGGGCTTGCATCCATTACAGTCAAGACCCCTTGGCCTCAACTTCTGCCAAAAGGAAATTGTGACATTGAATTTCAAGATCCTTAAAGGGAAGTCCTGAACAGCTGTAAAATCTTCCATTGTCCAGGTAAAAAGAGCTTTTTTCTTGCCTTTCGATGGAGGCCTTGGCCTTGGAAGAGAAGCAGAAGCTCCCTAGGATAGTTAGCTCTAGTCCCAGGAGCTGGGTACAAGATCACCGCGGAGGTGAATCCGAGCTGTGAAAAGACATTTTTGACTAGGACGCCTTGACCTTGGGTTCCGATCTGGGCTGACTGTCGCTGCAGGGCCAGCCCCAGGCGAGACCTCAGCCTTAGGCTGGGAGGCTTTCTGGTTCCTCTGACGACTGCAAAGCGCAATCCTATAGTGGCGTAGAGAGAAAAAGACAGCCTCACAGCCTCTCCGGAAAGCTCAAATGCCACACCTTACAGGGCATTCGGACTCAGCCCATTCTTATCCTTGCATCAAAGCCACCCCCTACCCCAGTGTCCCCGGAGGCTACACCATCCTCCGTTCCTGGGCGGAGCAGGGCCTGCTGCGAGGGCTCACAGCCTTCTAGGAGTCAGACCTAACGGTGGGGGCTTTTCTTTTCACTGGTTTCGGCTCCACCCCTCTACCCCCAACTCCCGTCATTAACAGCAAAGAAAGGATCTCAGCTATTTCCATGTCCTCTAAGGCTCGAGAACCCTGTTATTTAATCCCGCGGCCACGCCGGCAGCATCCACGGTGCGGCCGACCCCACCCATCGACCTGGCGAGTTCTCGGCTGCTCCCTTCCCTTTTGGGGAGTTGGAGAGGGGCGGGGGGGGACTGCTAGGGAAAGCAGCCTACAGCAGCAAAGGGTCGTGGGCCTTAGGTGGACAGAGTCGCTTCAGTCCAGCGTCCCGAAAGGGCTGGGATATGAACTGGGTAAAACGGAGACACCTAGCTAGAGCAGCAGAGAGCTGGCGGAAGCCCCTAAAACTGCGGGGCGGGGGGCCAAAGGGACTTTCAGGCCAGAGCCTGGCCTTTCTCTGAGCGAACAGAATCGCCCTGGGGGGCACCGGAGCCGGAAGAGGCCTCTGTCCAGTCACTGTCCACACCCAAGAAAAGGGTGGGGGGAGGGGTGGTCCGCACTCACGACTCAGCCTCAGGAACCAAATCACTCGCTCAGCAACATCCACTCCGCCCTTCTTTGATATGGACGTTGGACGTTTTTCTTAATTTTTGGCAAATACAGCTTCAAGATCCCTCCCTCCGACGTCCGTAGGCGCCACTGATCTGCCGAACGAGGAGGACCCTAACAGGGGTCCTACCGCCTCCCCAACCCCTTGACTGCCTGCGGCGGGAAAGATACCCAAATCTAGGTATGTCCTCCCCCACCCTGCTCTCAGCCCTGGATCTGGAGGCCACGCAGCCCCGCGCCCCCCAACGACACTGACGGTTCCTGCCCAGGCCCGCAGCGGCGTGAAGGTGGCCTTTACCTCCTCTCGTAGGCTGGGAGGGGGTACAGCCCGCGCAGCTGAACCAGCTGCAGCAGTCGCCGCCGCCCTCCATTCATTCAGAAAAAAAAAAAAAAAAAAAGCAACAACAACCTCCACCCCTCTTTGTAAAAGAACGACGGCCCCTTGAGGAGCGAGAGCCAGCCCCAGCAATCACGGGTTAAGTTCTTTTCCGGCCCCCCATTCATAAAAAAAGGAGCGCAGCGCATGCGCACGCGGGGTCTCTTGTGCCCACCCATTCATAGAATTGCGGACGGCGCGCGTGCGCACTGGATCTCCCTTCCCTCCCATTCATAAAAAAGCCATTTTCCCAGGCAGTGGTTGCAACACAGCCGCCGAGGCAGCGAGCAGAGCTGACAGCGCCGAGCTGGCTCTGCGGGACGCTGAGAGCCTTGCAGGTTTCTCCGGCTGGCGTCTGCAAGTACAGCGGCGGCTGAATCGCTCGGCTTCAGGGATTTACAGACTTGGAGCAATGCTTGTGACTCTGCAGCTCCTCAAAGTAAGTCCATGGCCGGTTTGAAGATCCGAAACTGGCCACTTTGAGCCGCGACGCTACTCCCCTTAGGGCTCGGGCAAATGGTGCGCTATTTCTAACCGCACCTCAGTGTTCCTTCCCTCTCTTTGCGCCTCCCTTACTCGCTGCGGTGCGCCGCAGCTCCCTGCCGCCCTCGGCCGGGCCGGCACGGCGCTGAAGTGTTCGCAGCCTGGCACCACTGTTTCCGACCCCCCGGGTATTGCCAAGCCTGACTTCCCCGCCCTCTGCGACTCGGGAAGCCCCGTGCGTGTCTTCAGAGTTTGTCTCTCGCCTGTCCTCTCTTCTCCTGTCGCCCCTCGCCTCCGACCCTGGAACTGTTGGCTCTGGGCTTGCTTGGGAGCCACCCTTTGGGTCTGGGGTGTGCCCTAAGGTGACTCTCTCACCCCCGGGCTGCGTGCCCACGGTGCCAGCTCTGCCGTGGGTCTTTCTGGCCCGCCGCAGCGGCCTGTGCTCGACGTAGATTTTTCTCTCCCCTTCGGAGCCAGGACGGACTGGCTAGCTTTCCTCCCCTTCTGCCTCTCCCTCGATGGTCAGCTCGGGGCCGGCCCAGGACTGCGCATTTCTGCTCCGGCTCCTCGGTGAGGCGGTTCCAGGCCGTCTGACCTTTGCTCGGCTGCCGCATTTTATGCTGTACAACTGCCTTGCAGTTGCCTTTTCTTTCCCCGGCTCTGCAGGGCCCGAGGCTTTCGGCTACCCCTTGCCTCCGTATTCGTGGGCTGTGCCAGGCCCCAGAGCCCCCGGGCGTCACTAGGACCGTGGTGGGGGCTGAAGGTGCGTTTACATAACGCTGGGCGTGTGGGTGCTGGAGGAAGAGGTTGCATACGTAGGAGAGATAAGACTCCTAGTTTTCCTGCTTCCCTTCTTGGTGGTACCAGGCTTGACATCACCTAGAAGAGAGAAGTATACAGACGGTACGTTCTAAAAAATTCTGAATCGCCAAGACCACAGGAGCAATGAGGGGGGTGAAGGGCGGGTTTGGCCAGCCAGGGCAACCGGAGCTTGGCTGCATCACTGGGACCAGGGCTGTGCCCAGTTCCCCCTCCATGCAGGCGATCAAAAAGCGTTTAGACAGTAGCTGCTCTTGTGCAAGAAGACGGTTTCTCAATTTTCTTTGATTGGGGGCTGGGGGTTGTGGGCAGAGGAGGCTAGAGTGGCGGAAAATGGTTACATGGTTTGAAGGGTTTAAGGGATGGAGGGAGAGGCAAAATGGGCTGGAGAGGATGGTGAACAGAGGATAGAGAGGCTAGCTGCCTCTCACCAGCTGCTGGATAGGCATCCATATTGGCAATCTGGCTAAGGGCTGGAGAGGCCTCCTTATGGCGCAGCCAGACTCCCAGGAAACCCCCCCCCCCCATCTCCATGGCTTATGCTGGAAGGAAAGGGTTAGAATCTGTGGAGTACCGGACTAAGTGGCAAGCCCCTCTTTCCTGTCTCCAAACCAGTGGCGTGGTTTTCTCCAGTTTGGGGAGAACCCAGACAAATTGAAGGCCAGAGAACTTGTGGAGGGGCAGGAGCTGGTGCATTGCTGTCTGGTTTGCTGACCAAGGTTCTAACCTTCCTGACAAACCTCTCAGGGATACAAAGCTGGAAGGTAAAAGGCTCAGAGCAGTTGGGAAATAGGGATTTATCAATCTCTTAATAAGCTCCATCTGGCCTGAGGCCCTACCCAATATTGCACTGGTGGATTTCACAATGTTTAGAGTTCTCCGAATCTTCACAGAAATGGGGCATAAACATTTTTTTTTCCCTTGTAGTGCAAGTGTGGGGCGGTCTAGGCCAGGTCTAGGCACCGGTTAGCGTTGCGCTCTATATTTCCCCTTCTCTTCCTGGGTCCCCATCTCCCTCTCTCTGTCTCCCTCCCTCAGAAGGGTAAGAAGATTTATAGATGCCCATCGTGAAATCACATTTCTGCTGTTTCCCATCCCTCCCATAGGAAGGTCTTATGCTAGCTGGCTTAGAGTACATCTTAACCTGGTGGTCAGACATGCTGACCAGTTGAGCTGTGTGGCCAGGATGGGGGGAGGGCACTTTGGTAGCTGGTTTCTGAAATCTATGGAAGCATGTCATCCAGCTAGGATGAGGGAAAACTTTAATATGTCTGGCTGGTTGTCTTCCTTTTTTGTTTCTAAACTCAAGTCACTCCCCTTGTGGAGTGTAAATCTCTGAGTCCTTACCCCTCCTGTGTGTTCCCATGACCTTTCCTAGATTGTCCTCTGAAATGGCAGGCTCTCACCACAACTTTGGTTGGTCTGGTGGATACAACACGTTGAATGGATTGATTCCAGGCTAAAGCAGGCCAGAGGCTGGGCACCGGCGGGCATTTGAAACTCCCCAATGTCATTTTTGTCTGCATCCTTCTACAATTGATGGGAAGATGTGGCTTTCTGGAAACTCATCACCTGCCAGTTCATAGCTCTTATGCCTAATCTTGTAAATCTGACATTAAATGTGCCCAGAAGTTTTCTTTCTTAAGAGATAAACGAAGGCAATGTGTAAAAGTCAGTGATTTAAAAATTAAGGTAGAAGGGGGCAAAAGTTAAACACTTTCTAAAGTGGCCCAAAGATGTATTGACCTGGGATTTAATAACTTTTGGATCATACTAGGGACTTCTCTCTAGTTTCTGATGCTAGAAGTATCTTCGTGTAACCTGTAGTTTTGCACACACACACAGCATTTTTCTGAAATAAGGCCATCTGTTAGATCAGGCCTAGGAAAGACCCTCCTTTTTCTTTTTTTTTTTTTTTCTAAATACGTAGTCTCACCATGTAGCTGAGGATGGTCCTAAACTCACTGCGTAACTAACTAGGCTGGCCCTGAACTCAATGCATGCAGTCCTCCTGCTTCAGCCTTTCAAATACTGGGATTACAAAACATGTGCCCCCAAGCCCAGTTTAGCCCTCTGTCTTTTTACAGACAAATTCTGATATTCAGAGTCACAGCATTATTTGGTTCGCAGCCCTGAATGCCTATCACTAGCACCTAATGAAGTGGAAGTTTCCCCAAACTGGGGAAGGATTCCTGCTCTCCTGGCTTTGAGGATAAAATCAAAAGTTTGGAGTCTGAGATGCAGACACCAGGTTTCTTAAGGAAGAGGATTAGCAAGAGTGGCGAAGGTTCCATCTCATGGCCATCTCGGGAAAGAGGTGACTCATGGGGATATATTTTGCTCTTCTCAAGAGGCAGAGCAAGAAAGTAAAGAATGTACTGCAGGCGAGGTCAAGCGAGGGGCCAGGGCACAGCAAGCCAGTGGCCAGGCAAACCTGGTAAGTGCAGGCCTTAGTAGAGAATGTGATCTTCCAGACTCCTTCCAGGGGGGCTGCTAGTGACTCTCAGGACTGGGACCTGTTATTACCGGATTTCTAAGAATTCCTAAGAGGAGGACCCGGTTTTAGGAACATCTCTAACCGAAGAAAGGCTCAGAAGGTATAGGGTGTAGCATGATGTAAGAGGCGGAGTATTCTTGGCGCTTGGATCTGGGGCCACCCTGCAGATCCGGACAGCTGACAAGGCTGGAGAATGTATCCGGGACATGTGGCTGGGCTTAAGAGGCTCCACCGTTCAGCTGTGATCACGATTGTTCTTTCCAAGGACAGGCCCGCCAGTGGAGGAAGCAAGGGCACTGGGGAGGGAGCACAGATGTGCTGGGTCTAGCTGAGGAGGGAAGGGGCCCTTAGAGGCAGGTGGCCACTTGCAGAAGAGTGGTTTCCCTTGTCAGGCAGCCTGTCTCTTTCTGGCTAGGAGAAGGGGAAGTCATTTCCTGCCCTGTCCCAGGAGTAAACTAAAATCTATTACTGTCAGTTCATTCTTGTGGCTGGTAGGGAGACAAATAAGACTATCTTGATGTCCGTGGGAAGAAGCCCTACCCTGGTCTCACTCTGAGCCTTGACTTGGGCTAGTAGTTCCCAAATAGTACCAGAGAAACAGTATGTCTTTGTTATGCTTGACTTCTTGTTGGTTTGTTTTGTTTTGTTTTGTTTTGGAGGCAAGGTCGGGCCAGCCTTGAACTCAATAGGTAAACCAGGCTGGCCTCAAATTCATGGCAATCCTCCTGCCTCAGCCTCCAGAGTACTGAGATTACAGGATGCTTGGCTTCTGATTCCTCTTTGGGGGGATCTGAGCGGGCTGAGCAGGTAGAACTACAGTGAACCCGCAACCTGAAGGTGACTAAAATAGTTTAGAACCAAATTGTACAGCAAGATATACGCTGGGGCTCTGGAGCTGAGCTGCTTGGTTGTGAAAAGAACAGGACTGGAAACTGATAACTGGTGACAGGCAAAGTGATGAAAAACAACTGTTTTCTTTTGTGATCCCTAACAGATTATTACCAGCAGTGAGCTGCTTGGAGCTGGGCTGGGAGGCAGGGGCGTGGGAGGAAGAGGAGGAGAAGGAATTCCCAGACAAAGTCAGGTGCCTAGGGGCTTTATTTCCCCATTGGGGTCATTCTCTGCAGAGATAGCCACCTTAGGGTGTTGGCAGGGGCAACTCCCTGGCTTCCTTCTGCTGCCCCTCCCCCTACTTTACAGGTCTTTAAAACAGTAGTAAGTCATCGTTTGGTTATAGCTTAATTAACTGATCTGGGACTCTGTCTCAAAGAGTAGAGCAGGGGTGATGGGGAGTGGTGGGCAGGCTCTCTGGCAACCTAAAGATCTTTATCCTATGTTGTGAAAGGGTTAAATAACCTTCCTTTGAAAGATCCCACTGAGACTGAATGGGGCAGTGCGGAAAATGCTGGTCATTCATTCAGAACCTCTTGCCAGTGCATCACTAGTTGATCTGTACTTTTCAAAGTACAGTTGTCAGGTTTTCCCACTATTTCCCAACGTCCCTCCTTGGGGTAATTCAAGTAGTAGATGGGCTAGAATAGGTGGCTGACCCATTCATGTATGTAAACGTTTAATACGCCTCTTGACTCTTTTCTGCTAGCCTGTGTTCAGCTGGTCTCCAGCCCTGCTGCTCTGGGCTCCTAGATCTGCCAAACAGCAAATACAGGGCCGGGAGCCCTGGGGTTTCCCATGTTCTGCTGACTCAGTGCTCCAGCACCTCTTCTTGTTTCTCTGTACCTTGCTGCTTCTTACAGACCTGTACCGGACACTCCATAATAAAAGTGCCCTTAGGGAAAGTTCAGTGGATAGGAGACGGGATTCCTTTCTACCCCACAGTTTGCTTTTAAGGATTGCTCCGTAGTGAAATTGTATAAGTGAGACAGATTCAACTTTAGGACAGCTAAAAAGGACAACGGTATCGGGCAGTGAAGTGACAGAAGGATGCCAAGGAAAACTGAGAGTGAAAATAACTTGAGCTCAGAGCTTTCCTTAAATGACAGGAACCCGTTGCTTGCCTCTGCTCCACACTGATAAAAGGGGGCTTCATTTCCCTGCTGACTGAGTGCCCCAGATGGCCTAGGAGGCTCCCTGAAACCAGACTGAAGGGGTGTCCGAGACTGCAAAGAGTGCTTGCCCACCCAGGTGTGCGCAGAGGCTTCTGTGAGCTGGGCTGCAGTTTAGGTAATTTATTGCCTCTGCTGTCTGGCTTCAGGTCTTCCCTGATCACTCACTAGAACTGTGATGTTTTATGCTTTCTTTCCTTCCTTTTCTTTCTTTTGTGGTACTGAGTATTGTACCTAGAGCCTCCACATAGAACCACATCCCCACCCTCATTTTTTTTAGAAAGTAAATGTATTTATTTATTGTTTTACATTTCCCAGGCCGGACTCACACCTGTGATCCTCCTGCCTCAAGTCTTGCAGAATGCCTGGCATTCAGGCTTGGCCCAGCTACACCTGGATTGTGCTCTTTTTCTAACTCCAAAATGTGTGCTGTCCTCTCTAGTGACAAAATAAATCAATGAGGGCTTGGGTATAAGGCCTAGGGTTAAAAAATGTCTTGTAAGTATTTGTTGCTTCTGTAATTATCATGTATTATTTTTTGAAGTTGGGTGGAAATGAAAGTTCTCTTGTGGCCTAAAACTCCACAGGGGTGCTTCTGTGGCTGCGTGTGCAGCGGTGGCTTTGGGTCTTTGTCCAGAATCTTCCAAATTGGCCATCAGTCTCCTCCAAACTGCCTACATTAAACAGAGCCTCCTATTTATATTATGTATCTCTTCCTTAGAGGGGAAGTGGAGGTACACATATAATATGCACTTAGGCTGGAGGTTGAGTGGGTCCCTGTGAATGGAAATTGGGCTGGGTTTTTTGTTTTTGAGACCTCATGGAACTGTTACTGAGGAGTTGTTTTTCTGTCAGCCAAATTGATTCAGGTGGAGCTCTTAGAGGGCCCTCCTGTGGTGGGTCCCTGCTTAGAGGCAGGTGAGGCCCCAGACTTGATCGAGTTTGAGTGGTGGGACTGTGAGCCAGCTGGTAGGTTTTGATGCAGCTGAAGAATTTGTATCAGGTTATGATGTGGAAGGTACGTTTCAGAATGAGCCTGCTGGAGACATCAGATGCTGCTGTCCCAGGAGAGCTGAGTCATTGCGGGCCATGTGCCCACCCCGATGTCTGGCCTCACCTGCCAGGCCCAGATGTTGGCATCTGCCTCTGGAGAATGATGGGGTCGGCTAATCGCAGTGTGCTCACAGCCTGAGTGTCTGCTTCTGCTGGCTTCCTGGTAGGGTTTTTCTATGAATTGGGGCATCTCCCACTGAAGCCAGACCTGGATTTTTAAAAAATCCCTGTGTTGTCCCCTCCCCCGCCTTTTGCTTCATCTGCAGGAAATGCACCTATTGTTATTGGCAATAACTGAATTGGGAAGGCAGAGATCATCTGCTGGGAAGAGGGGAAGTATCTTTTACTTTTTCCCATAGCAGGGCCAATCCCAGTCCAGGTCCTGAGACATCTCCAACTACCTGGAACATTGGAACCTTGACACTGCCACTGATGCTTAGTTGGCAGGGCCCGAAATACTCCTAACGTGGGCTTCCGGAATAAGGAAAGTCGTGGTTGTCTTTGCCATGCAGTTATCATCCTTGCTGCAGCTCATCTTGGCTGATAGTGGCCTTATCCATAGCATTTTCTATTCTTATGCCAAGTCCCGCCTTTTCCTCTAACCAAGCTCTCCAGGGTTGGATACCGGACACTCCTAACCCTGAGCTGGGGACTGGGGACTGAGCACTACTAACCCTGATCTATTGACCTCAAACTCATTTATTCTAGAAGCAAGCATTGGACCCTTAGCGAGAAAAGTGGAAAGACTGAGTAGCATTCCCTCTGTCCAGCCTGACCACAGGAGGCAGCTTTGGCAAACAGGTGCTGTTTCCTGGCAGACTTGCCAGGCACATAAGGCGAGCTGTGCTACAAGGAATTCTCCCACTGGAAGGCGATGCTGTGTTTTCATCTGGAGAGAACTTTGGTCAGGCACTGCCGCTAGATAGACTTGATCCCAAACAGGAAAAACAAAGTGTTAAAGAAATGCCAGCATCTTTTCAGTGAGCAGAGCTGCGGGAACAGAGCCAATAGTGAGTGCCCTGTGTGAATGGGAGCTATCAGTTGACTGAGCACTGAACCTTGTAGAAAAGACTCGATGCTTTTCTTGCATTTAAAGAGTATAGATGATATACACAGATGAGAGACTTAGATAACCCCTTTTCAGCCTCTTCGTGAACTTTTCTCCTAGAGCTCTCTTTAGACAGGCCAGCGATATCCAAGGGAGCCCTTCCCTGATGATTTTAACTGTTTCTGATCAAACTATTGTCTCCAAGCAGGGAAATACAATACGGAACTACTCTGAATGTCTTCTTGCCCTGATTCCCTCCTTACTATAGATGGTTTGAGTATGAATGAATGCCTCAGGTGTCAGTAATCCTGTGAATGGACTATACAGACAAACCAAAGACACCAGAGCCTACAGGGTATACTGGATGGGAAGCCTATCTGCTCCCCTTCACAGGCACACCTTTGGCAAGGTGAGCCTAATAGCTGGTGGACTGGGTCAGCTTTCCTAGTTAAGATGTCATTAGCATCTTTAAACAGAATTTTAGGGAAGCAGCATTTGTAACACTAGTCTACTGTGGGTTGTTATTTTCCTTAAGGTCCATCATCTTCCTCCTCTGCACCTCTTCTTCCCCCGGACGCCTGGTTTTCTTTAGTCTAGTCTTTGCCTTGGATTCTAAACTGTGTCCCCTTTAGCAGAGGTCCTGGCCTTCTGCTGCTACTTCTTTAAATTGATCTCCATCCGAATTCCAAATGTAAAGGTCAGCAGGCAAGGAAATGGCACTTCTAATAGAAAACAATGTGCACTTTCTAAATTTGAACCAAGCCGTTTCCGCTCTTTGATTTAAGTGACTTCCTGGGGTTCCGTGTCAGGCACTGCAGTTGAATCTCTGGCCGGATGCCAACTTAAAATTGCACTCTCTCAGTGAAATTAGAAACTGATCCAGGGTTGGCTTAGCTATTCTAGTAAGTAGCATTTAGGCTGAATGTTCAGCTCAGCATTTGGAGAAATGGGTGATGTGAGCACCCCTTGAGAGGGTTTCCCATCCAGGGTGTCAGAAGCTCACCTCCTCGGGAGTTATTAGCCAGTGGAGGTTGCTCCACTTAGAAGTGGTAGCGATAAGTTAATATCCTGAATAATGTCCAGATAACAGCCCTTCCTTGTCTTGTGAATATCTAAAATTAAGGCTTTTGTTTATCCAGCTGAAAAATTCCATGGGAGCACACAGGGCCTGTTGTGTTCACCACACTGTCCTCAAGGTCCAGGACAAAGTAGTTGCAAGTGCTCAGGAAATCAAAATTTACATTCTCGGGATGTAAATGTAACAAACTGTTGGGTACTTACTATACGACCAATAATGTGCATTTTCTCTTTTAACTCTTACAAGAACTTTTTTTTTTTTTTTTTTTTTTGGTACTTGGAATCGAACCCAGAGCCTCACACTAGCCAGGCAGGTGCTATGCTGCTGAGTTACATCGCAAGCCCAAGAACGAATTTTATAGATGACAAAACTAAGACCTGCCTGGCATGTGGTACATGCCTGTAATCCAAGTACTCAGAAGGTTAAGGCAGGCATGTTGCCACAAGTTCAAGGCCAACCTGAACTATCAAGACCCTGTCTCAAAAAAACAAAACAAAATACCAGAAATTAAAAAGTTTAAAAAACAAAACTAAGGCTTAAGGCATAGGAGTTACAGAAAAACTCTTTCATAGTAACACTCCTAGGCTAAGGTGAGAATTGACACTCACATCTGATTCCAAGTCCTGTGTTCTAACCCCTGAGCTATACATCTTACATAAGGAGCACATTCTGTAACAAATAGGAGAGTACATTTAGACTGTGAGGTTTGAGCACTGGCCCTAAAAACTAAATGACTTTAGTATTAAGGTACTTTGAAAAGTGCCTCATTTCTCCTTCTTTGTGGTACACTGGAAATTGAACCCAGGACCTCATGCATGCTAGGCTACCACTGAACTATCCCTCAGGCCCACTAACTGTTATTATTGTCTTATCATTAATCATGTAAGGCTTGGAAATTGCTGGGAAGTCTACTGAAGAAATTTGGTCCCATTCCTTTGGGCTTGCAAGGCCCTGCTGGGGGAATGTGGGCAAGGGGATGTTAACAGACTACGTACTGATGCCTACAATCCATTCTCGTTTATTTTCCCCCATTCTCCCCCAGGGCCCCTAGAAGCCTGATACTCGGAGCAGTCCAGCACCTCCAGCCCCATGGAGCCCCCGATTCCACAGAGCGTCCCTTTGACTCCCAGCTCAGTCATGGTGCAACCCCTTCTTGACAGCCGGATGCCCCACAGCCGCCTGCAGCACCCACTCACCATCCTGCCCATCGACCAGATGAAGACCAGCCACGTGGAGAATGACTACATTGACAACCCCGGCCTGGCTCCCCCCACGGGCCCTAAGCGGACCCGGGGTGGAGCTCCAGAGCTGGCCCTGACCCCTGGCCGCTGTGACCAGGATGTCACTCACCACTGGATTTCCTTCAGTGGGCGCCCCAGCTCCGTGAGCAGCAGCAGTAGTACTTCCTCTGACCAGCGGCTGCTAGACCACATGGCTCCACCGCCCGTGGCTGAGCAGGCCTCACCCAGGGCTGTGCGCCTCCAGCCTAAACTGGTCCATTGTAAGCCACTGGACCTCAAGGGCCCGGCGGCCCCACCAGAGCTGGACAAGCACTTCTTGTTGTGTGAGGCCTGTGGCAAATGCAAATGCAAGGAGTGTGCGTCCCCTCGGACGTTGCCTTCCTGCTGGGTCTGCAACCAGGAGTGCCTGTGCTCAGCCCAGACTCTGGTCAACTATGGCACATGCATGTGCCTGGTGCAGGGCATCTTCTACCACTGCACCAATGAGGACGATGAGGGCTCTTGCGCCGACCACCCCTGCTCCTGTTCCCGTTCCAACTGCTGCGCCCGCTGGTCCTTCATGGGCGCCCTCTCCATGGTGCTGCCCTGCCTGCTGTGTTACCTGCCTGCCACTGGCTGTGTGAAGCTGGCCCAGCGTGGCTATGACCGCCTCCGCCGTCCTGGTTGCCGCTGCAAGCACACGAACAGTGTCATCTGCAAGGCAGCCAGCGGGGATGCCAAGGCCAGCAGATCCGACAAGCCTTTCTGACGCTTTGCGTTGAATCCCAAGCGCTGCCCCTGGAAATGAGGGTCCTTCCTGCTAGCCACCCAAGGCTGACCTTGTTCACCTGTCATCTCCTTGCCCCTAGATTGGGAAGAAACAGGCAGAGACCACCACCACCCACCCTCTAGCTCCCAAAAGGAGGAAGAAACACTTTGGGGGGTTTGGTATTTAGGGCTTTGGAACTTTTGTCAAGCAGATGGGCAGGGTGTGGTTAGGGGGGATTTTTCAGAAGCCGGAACACATATGTGGACACATCCGGAAGCCGCAGCTGCTTGATGCCCTTCTTGGTCCTTCCTCCGCTCTCTGTCCCTCCCACTTGGCCACTGTCTCTGACTCTTGGAGCTGGCTGCCTGAGTGCCAGGAGCCCTTGGAGAAGACCCTTGGCGTCCTGACTTCGCTTTCTTCTCCTTCCCTCCACCAGTTGGCTCCCGCATCTCGGGGAAGGCAGAGAACACTAGCTGTCCTGACTGTGCGTACTTGGGGAGTCCTGAGAACAGAGGACAGCCAAAGAGCTGAAGCCTCCCAGGAGCCACGAGATGGTTTTGGAGCCACTTCGCAATGCATTCCTCTCTCCGACCTTGTTAGTAACTCTCGGGGGTGTTCCTCTCGTCCTACGCCGTCCTGTGGTCCAGTTCTAACGAGTCACCGACTCGCCTACCTGCTATGTCCTGAGTTTTCTCTCTACTCAGATCCTTTCCAGAAACTTGATGGGTAGAGAAGGCTGGGGCGGCACATGTGAGACCAAATATCATTTTGCCAATGAGTATGAGGCTGTAGTCTCTTGACCCAGTCGTGATGTTTTTATAGAATAACTAAACCAGATGCTAATGGTGTTTTAAAGAACAATAATAAAACAACTTGCTTCCTTTTGGGTCACCCCCAGGAAGGGCTGATTTCAAAATCTGGGGGTGAGCAACCTCAAGGAGCACAATTCCCCTACCCACCAAGAAGAGGATTTTATCAGCGAAGACGAGGCAGTGCCTCCCATTGGCAGAATGACAGTTGAGCCGCGCTGGGGTTGGGTTTTCTCTCTTCTGATTCTGCTGCTTGCTGTCATAGCCTTTTGTGTATAGCGATGCGATGCATCTGTATCTTTATGTAAATAGATGATGAAAAGAGAGTCTATTTTAGTGTTAGGAAGCCCCAGCGGGGGAGTCAGAAGAGCTCAGAGAGGGTGGGTAAGATTTTCCAGGGGCCACTGGGATTGAGCCCTGCTTTTGTGCACAGCACACCCCTCTCCCGACAGCCCCCAAAGACGTAGCAACTCTTTCTCTCAAGGTGCTAAAGGACTCAGAAAGTGCAGCACGTCCAGTGGGTAGGTACTTGTTGCATGCAGAAGCTATAGTGTGTCTGATCCTCCCCTCACTCCCTACCCCAGCTGTTGGGGGGGGTTTGCTTTGTGTGGTATTTTTGTACCCTCCTCCCTCCAGGAGAGGAAATAGCCTGGGTCAGAAGAAAGGCCCCAGGTGATTTTGGAATCGCATTAGGCAGAGCCAGAGCGTCTGAAGCATTTCCAGCTTGTTCTGTGCAAACAGCTGCCTCCAGGAAGGAGGCCAGGAGGCAGCGAGTAGCTGTGAGTGGCATGTGGACCTAATGCTTCCGAGCCCCCCTCCCCTCAGAAACTAGTAGTAACATCTTATGATTTAGCATAAGTTAATTATAACCATAGGTATTTATTGATTGGAGGAAGGGAGGGTCTTACTAGTTTCGGCTTTATTTATGTAACAATTGCTGGCTTGTAAAAGGCAAGTATAAGATACTGCATCTCCATTCCCTATGGCAAGTTCATATAGCTACCCTTGCCACAGTTGTGATGGATGTATGGGTGTTCTTGCACAATTTGGAGGGAATGGTAGGAAATGAACATATTCAGCCAACCACTTACACTAATTGAATGTAGCAGAGGTGTGCCGAAGGGGCTGGACATGTTTTCCTCAAAAGAGGTGTGCAGAGGTGGCCCCCACAGTGATAGCACACACTTGTGCTCTTTCTTTCTTTAAGGCCTCGGGGACTCTCTCCAGGGACCCTGCCTCAAATCATCTCCACAGGAAATTTGACCCAGTTGCAAGCTGCACTTTGGTGATCCTGGCCTACACACCTGTTCTGTGGAGATTGGATTTGCATAAGCTGTGTATGCGCACATGCACATGTACACAAACATACACGAACACACCCTGGCCCTCAACCGACATATACCCTGTTTCCTGACAAATGGCCTTCTGAACCCTGACTTTTTGTGTACATAGTTGTAAAGAGGTTTTTCGTGGATTTTGGTTTGCTTTTTCTCTTTTTTTCCTCGTCCCCCTTTTTGGCTTGCTTTTAACTTGCTAGATGGATGTCTGCAGAACTCTCAAGGAGTTCCTGAGCCCTGTGCACTCAGCAGTAAAGGGAAAAGGTGAAGGAAGTGTCCTTGGTCCTCCCAGCTCTGTTGTGTGGCCGTCCTTCGGCAGTTTTTCTATGCTCCTTGGCAGAAAAAGAAGGAAAATAAGCATGGCTTGCCTGTGGTCCTGCCACCCTTTGAGGCCAGCCAAGGGCCACGAGGGACCAAGCACTCAGAAGCACGACATCGTTCTTTGTAGCTGCTTCTTGCTTGTTTTGTATCACTAGTAGCTTGCTTGGCTGGATGAACCCTCACCGTGGGAAGTGCCTGGCAGCAGATTCTCACTTGTGTTGCCCCTGGGTGCACTGTGATTGTCCCTGCAACTAGGGGCCAGGAGGGTTTTCCAGAGATGCCTTGACTGCTTGCTTCCCCTCCCTGAGGGTGGGCTGGAGATGCAGTGAGTGAGCGCCCTGGGAACTGGGCTTGGGCTGCAGAATCCTCCCAGATGGATGGCAGACACAACCCAGTGTCCTCAGCAGCTGTCTGGAAGAGTGGGCAGCCTCTTCTGCTGGCCTGGGCCCATCACAGCTGACAGGTGAAGGCACCCTTGTGATGTAGAGGTCTTTAACCTGTGCGGTCTCCATTGACCCCTACTGTATGTGAGTGGGGTCTGGCCAGGCAGTGACTTGCCCAAGGTTGCACATGTGAAGAGCGTAGGTCTGGGCGGGAACCCAGGTGACTGTCACCTCGGAGCGTCACATTCTCCGGCACTGTCCCAGGAAATGTCTGACAGGTGTGGGCAGCGCAGCTTCGCCCTGCAGAGTTTCTAGGGCACCTGCGAGCTTCGCCAGCCTCTGGTTCACAGCTCTGGTAAGCCTTTTCGTGCCCTTCTGCTTATCGTGACTGGATGTCGGACCTTGTGTTGCCATTTTTGCTCTGGGTAACTGTGCTGTGTCTTATCTTGCTTTCTCCTCTTGCTGTCCGCAGTTGGGTTTCGTGTTACAAACAGTACAGCTGTCCCCGGCGCCCACTCCACTATATTCCTAATTCATTTTCCTCCACTGCAGCCCCTGCTCACCCCACCACAAGCGTTACCACAGAAGGTTTCCTTTGTATAGAATATTTATTTTGAAGCTCTATTTTAATAGTATTTATTTTAGAAAGTCTACTATTGTAAGAGTTCTTCTGTTTGTGAAGAAAAAAACAAGTTAAAACTGAATGTACTGATCTAGAAAAATATCTATAAATATATATTGTTAAATATATGCAGGACTGTGTTCTGTGTGTGTGTTCAGTTTCCTGTCCTTCGCCCTGCAAGGCCATGGGTTTGTCCACCAGGTGCAAGCTAGAACTGAAAGGCCGGGCAGAGACTCCTAGGAAAGTTTAAGAACTAGGGGGTGCATTGCCTGCCTTTATATCCTTTTACTTTTCAAATGAGACAAGCCCTTGCTAAGGGCCACACTGGCCTCAAGTTTGCAGTCTTCCTTTCTCAGCCACCAAGTAGCTAGGACTACAGATGTGCACCACTGCACACTTTGTGAAAGCTTTACGTACTTTATCGGAAAACAGCACAGCCTGATGCTGGGAAATCCTTTTTCCTGGGCCAGCTGGTCCTATACACTTGACGGCTTTGCGACACAAATAGGAAAGCCGGGAAGAGCTAGAGGTGGTAGAGAAGAATGATCTAGTCTGTCCATGTCCCAAAAATCCTACAGCTCTTTTTTTTTTGGCCTTGGTACCCACAAGTCTGTTTTAAGAAGCCAAACAGAAAAGCCCTTGCGATCTCCTTATTCTGACTGGATGAACAGATCCTGCCCCAAACCAGTCCTGTGCCCTCTAACACCTACACATGTGCTCACTTGTCTTGCCCTCCTCCTGGTGCTTCCGTTTGGTTCCTTTCCCCCCTCATCCCATCAACACCATCACTCAGGAAGCCCCAGCCGCCGCCTCTCAGTGTGAGAACACAGCTGTGGGAACTCTTTTTAAAATTACTTTCAATTCATTTACTAGTCACAGTGAAATTTGAGCTGTATGCCTGTCTCCCATAAGCAGAATCAAAGAGTTCCCAGGATGTAAGGGAAGGTGGTGCGGGGAGGAATGGGGATGCTCAGGTCCTGTTCTTGGTTCTTCTGGGAGTCACTAAGTGTGGCCTGCCATGCTGCTTTGTGAAATCCAAGCCTTGTGGCATTATGTGGTGTGGAATCCCCTGGTCACTGCCCTAGAAGACACAAAGGCTGTTACTCAGTGTGGTACTGTCACCCGGCCCTGTGGGTTGATCTGTCCACATAGGCATAGGTTAGTGCTGAAAGTCAGCTTCACTAACATGGTTAGTAACAAGACACTAGGAAGTGATCATCTCTTTAACCCACTCAGTCCCAGTGAGTGTGTACCATGCTTTAATTCTGAGTCTCCTTAGGGGTGGGAGCCCTCCCCTGATTTGTCTGTTCATTACTGGCATTTTGGAGGTAAAAACAACCACCACATACACAGTTTGGGTGCTTAGAGTCCCATCCATCCAAATGCTCTTGGAGAAACAAGTTAGGCAATCTTCACAGAAAAAGTTCCACAAGGGCTTTGGTCTGTTCCTCTCCGTTCCAGTGGGAAACGGCTTTGAGGTGATAGTAATGGTTACCATTATTAATTAAACAGCTTCTTGCCTGGTACCAAACATGTGGCTGAGGCTGATATCATTTTCTTCTTAAAGAGAAGTTGTCACATACAGTCCCAAAGTGTGACTGAGGGGTAGGATATCTGTTTTTGTGATACTACGGGTAACCCAGGGCCTTTACACTGAGCTACATTCCCAGCCCTTTTTATTTTGTATTTAGAGACAGGTATTGCTAAATTACCTATGCTGGGTTTAAATTTGCAATCCTGCCTCAGCCTCCTAGAAGGCTTGAATTATAAGCATGCACCACCACCCCTGGCTTGGGTAGGGGCTGAAGTGTAAAATCATCAGCTGAAGGAGTTAGTTAGCAACTGAATTTAGGAAGGAAGAGAAAGCACAGAATGGAGGAGTTAGAAGGCTCCCCCGTGATCCAGTGTAAAACTAGGGAGAAATCCAATTCAACCCCCCCTTATATGCTCAAGTCAAGAGGGACTGGTCTTGGTGGGGGGGCAGCTCTGGCAACAGCTAGGACCCTCCCCACCCACCGAGGACCTGCAAGTTGAACTGAGCTCAACTTGCCAGAAGAGCTCATGTGTGAATGTCCCAGGCAGCCGGCCCTGTGCTAGAGGTGTGTGCCAAATGAAAGTCAAGAGGACATTTTTAAGAGCCTTAAGTTTATTCATCGGAACTTTAATAAAACAATATGTCCATGGCCCGCGGCAGGTATAATTTTCATAATTTATGGGTCTCTGAGACAGGAAGAGAGCTCGGGGTTTTATTGTGTTTTGCACGATAAACGGCATTCCAATTGTCTACATGATGTTCTTTAAGGACTCTCGTCTGGCAGCGGCACAGGCCTTCTGGAGCCCACCTGGGCCTCAGGCCTGAGGCAAGGGGTAATTATGAATACAGCTGTATGTGTTAAGCAGGAGATGATGGAAAACTCCTCCATTCCTTCTGTCATTAGGACTTCCTTTGCCGACACCTATATTAACATTTAACTGTTGCAAGGTCTGGAACCCTCCCTCTCCCCTCCCCGCCACTGGCTTTCTCAGGCTCCCCTTCCCCGTACAGGTGGAGACCCAGGTACATTCCTGCATGGCAGAGGAGGTGACAGAAGCTCCTCCCTCCTTCAGACCAAGGTCATGAAGTGTGAGTTGAGCTTCTGCTTGAAATCAGTGCTTGAAAAATCTCTGGGAGATCATGGAAGAATTACAAAAGGTGTCACTTCAGGGCACAGATGCAACATTTTTGATTGCAGTCAGTCAGGTTGATGCAGTTGGCCTCATTTTACAGATGAGAAAGTCAAGGCTTCAAGAGGTTAAGTCACTCTCTTGTCAAGGGCACCCAGCTGAAGTGGTAGGCTTCAGATATTATTTCAAAGGCTCTGCCCATAGTAGACACTAAAGCGCCTTTAGGATCGCCCATTCCAATGATCAGTTCTTCTGGGGTGCCTAGCTATATACCTATATATCTAGCTTCCTTCCCACTTGTGTTTCCACAGAAGTCAGTACACAGGTTTTAAGCAAGATTATTTCAACTGGGCTGGGGATTTAGCTCAGTGGTGTAAGTGCCTGCCTGGCAAAGTGCAAGGTCATAAGCTCAATCCCCAGTACCAAAAAAAAAAAAAAAAAAAAAAAAAAAAAAAAAATTACTTCAGCTGTCACTGGAGTAGGACTTGAACCTGGGTCTCGGCAGTGAGCCACACATATCGTATAACAGACTAAGTCCTCATCATCAAACTGATCCCGGGAGGGAACCTCTGTGACCATACGTCACTGCCACCAACACTCCTGATCTCCTTGGCAATGGAAAGATGGATTATTTTGTTGTGATGGCAAGGGCCAGTGTTCAGTGAAGGGGCGAGAACCCTCAGAGAGCAAACTGAAATCAGCTAGCGGATACATGGTTGGTTGAGCAGAGATGCACGGGTCCACAGAGAGTAAAGTGTGTGTGGGCCACACCTCTGCGCTTCTAGGGCAGGCATGTCCTGTGTCAGCCTTAGAGGTCGATGCCAGGAGAATCAGAAAGCCAAAGCAGTGAGGGCGGGATGGAACGCAGTGGGGCTGGGGACTGGGGACCCTCCCTGTGAAAGGCAGTGTCCTCGCAAGCCCCAGACTACCCTTGACCATTTCCGGGTACTGCTGCTGCAGCCCAGCCCAGGGACAATAGAGCACAGTGCCAGCATTTGAGTTGGATTATAGAACTGGTGTCCATCCAAGCAGGCCCAGTTCTCATGGGCATAACTAGGGCCTGGGGGCTCTCTGAGAAGGGACGGCCACTCCCATAGGCCACTCTAGGACACTGGTAATGAAGAGCACAGAGCCTTGGGTGCCCCAAGTGTGCTGTCTTCACTAGCTGTGATTTGGGAGATGTTCAAGGGTTCAAACCCAGGCCTGGGGCATGCGAGGTGAGTGTTTTACTACTGAGCTAGCTCCCCAAGTCCAATGAAGTTGGGGGGTTAGACAGCCGTGCCACTGTACTCAGCCCTGTGCTGATTGTTAATAGCGTCCTACAGATGGGGAGCAGAGAAGATGTGTTTGTCCTCCGGCCTTCTTCAGTTCCTCCATCACTTTATTTATCTGTATTTTTGGGTCTTTTTGAGACAGAGTTTTGTTGTGCAGTTCAGGCTGGCCTTGAACTCACTTTGTAGCTCAGGTTGGCCTCAGACTTGCAGAGATTCTCCTGCTTCATCTTCCCAAGTGCTGGGGTTACAGGCATGCGCTACCACACCAGCTCAGGTCCTCCATTTTAAGCATAGCAGTGTAGACCCAGGTCAAGCCGAGTTTGATGATACACTCCTGAAATGCCAGCACTCTGAAAGGCTGAAGCAGGAGGATTGCAAGTTTGAGCCTAGCCTGGGCAATTTAGAGAATTAACAAGGTCGTGTTTCAAAATCTTAATGGGAGGGGTGAGTGGGGCTATAGCTCAGTGTGAAGGAGTTGAGTTCAAGCTTCAGTACTCAAAAATCCACACAAAATCCTTTGGGTTGTCATCACATGAAACTTAAGTTTTCCAGGCCAAGCATGGCCATTCACATCTATAATCTCAGCATTTAGGGGAGGCTGAGGCTGGAGAATTTACAAGTTTAAGGCCAGTATGAGATACTTACCAAGTTCAAGGCCAACATGGACTATATAGCAAAACCTTTTGAAGGGCTATAGCTCAGCGGCATAAGTATAAGCTGGTAAGTTCAATCCTTAGTTTAAAAAAAGTATGTATAGGGGCTGGGGATTTAGCTCAGTGGCATAAGCGTCTGCCTTGGAAGCAGGCAGTCGTGAGTTCGATCCCTGGTTCCGATAAAAAGGAAAAAGACAAAAAAAAAAAAAGTGTGTATAAAATATATATACACATATATATACACACACACATATACATACATAGGCTAATTAATCAGTGATACACTGTGGGGAGGCTCAAAGAGGGTAAGGCAAGTAGCTTTAGACTACATTTCTGTCCTGACACTAGCCAAGTGGTAAGACATAACGTTTCTACTACATAACCCTAATGACTCCAACATTAGTACCAGCTCCCATCTGCTATGGCTGACATCTGAGTTTACCCTTGCTAGAAGACCTAGCACAATGTGAACCACCTAAGTTTGCTTGTGAGGGGACGCTGGCTGTGGAACCCAGGACCTTACACATACTGAGCATT